ACATAGTAACGGTATTTTAACGAAATATATTATTATTACTTTATTCAATGAGGTGAAGGATTACAATTCGAAAGGAATTCCCTGATAAATTGAACAACTTAGACTTTATGGAATGAATAGCACTATTAGTAAATTCCATGAGGTCTGAAGTAAAAATGATAAAAAATTGACTACATTAATAAACACATTAAATAGAATAGTTTATATGTATTTAATGATAATTATCAAAGAGACTCACCAATATTTTTAAGCATCACATATTTCTTAAATTTAATCCATACGTTACTGCACCTTGTGCAATTGCAACTGTAGGATTAATAGGAATAGAAACATATATTCTATGTTGAAATTCTTTTTTAATTCTATTTTGTAAATATTTAGACTCACTATGACTTCCAATTAAAAACATTGCTGAACATTTTTCACGAGATCTATCGAGTTCTGTATGAATGTATTGTATAACATTTTCGATAAAAGGGTCAAAAATTGACCTTATGTTATTAAAATCAAGTTCAAGTTGCCACTCCGTTTCTTCTAACCATTTTCTAACATGATTATCAGTAATTAATTGTTTTATCACAGGAACTAATTCTTCAAGATCCAATAAATAAGTATCAAAGTCTTTGGCTTCTCCCGTAAAAGAATATTTATACCGTTGAGAAAATCCTTGAACCAAATATTTAAACTGAGCATAATGATTTTCTCTTAACAATTCAATAGGTCGATCACCAAGTATTTTACGCAAGTATTTAATAAATTCAGCATCAATAAAAGTACTTTCACATACTACGGATCTTTCAGTAACTAAACCCACTCGTGTTTCGTTTACTAGTTTCCAAGTAGCCAAATTTAATGTGTCACCACAATCGACAACCATAAAAATTGCTGTAAATTATTTGATGATTTTAGATTTTATATTAATTATAAATATAGAAAAGCTGTTATTTTATACATACTTCCTAGTACTTTCAGATCGTGTTTTCCAAAAATGCAATATATTGCTGCAGCTTCAGCTAGTAATGACCATATTAAATTAGAAATTAAAAGACAAAAAAAAAAAAATGATAAATAGTGAATGAGCTCACATTCCGTAATGCATTGCAATTTCGTTGAATATTTATCCCTTATCAACCATGCTTTAAATGCGCATTCTCGCATAATCTTTATCAGAATAATCAGCTGGAAGCGTAAGAACTAATAATACATGGTTATAGAAATCCATGTTTGGCCAGGTTGTCGCAATATTAACCTTAATCAACTTAAAGATGCATTCAAGTAAATAAATCACTCAAATTTAATAAATTTAATATATATATTTAAAGATTTTTGAGAATTTTGATTATACCCTTCCGATTTCTCTGAGATAATCAGTAATAGCCTTTTCATATTTAACTGGAAGCTTCGGTTTAAGCTCGTCCGGTAAATTGCTCAAATGTAATTTAAATAATTCAACCAGTTTCGTTTCATTATCTTCACCTACTCCCTTTCGGCGTTTTGGTCTTTTACATAAAGCTGAAACACCCCACGAAATTACATTATTATATTCATTATCATATTGTAGAACTGTATTAGTCTTTTGCGTGCCAAAAGTTCCAGGCCAAATATCATTTGAAATTATCGCTTGTGAATCATTAACATGACAATAAGCAAATCCAGAGTAAGATGTTCCAAAGTCTAACCCAACCACGACTCGAATGCAACCTTACAAATTCAAAATTAAGTTAATATTAATCACTTTAAAGATTACTTCAATCATTATCTATACATTTTGTACACATACCTACATCAAAAAAGCTCTGCGAATGTCCGGAGTGATTTACATTATTATCAATACTTTCGGAAAGTTGAAAACTATTGTTAATAATATTTTTTTGTTGACTGTTTTCACTATTTAAGGGTTTATATTTTACTTCAAGAATTTTATTGTTATTCTCATTATCTTCGTCTAATTCCAACATTTCTAGAGTTTTTTCTACATTTTGAGAAATTATTTGGATTTCAATTTTTTGTTTTTCATAATATAAAACTTTTCGTTGAAGTATTTTCAATTGCTTATCTCTTTCTTGAAGCATTTCTTTTAATTCGGAATTAATACGTGAGATTCCTAGATTTTCTTCTTGATGTTGCCGTTCAATTCTTTTAATTTCTTCTAATTGTTGGTTTTCATAATTTAGCATTTGTCGTTGAAGTTCTTCATATCGTTGAACACTTTCTTGAAGTATTTCTTTTAAATCTGAATTATTACGTAAGGTTTCTCTGTTTTCTTCTTGAAGAATTTCATGTTGTTGCTTAAGCCTCGTATTTTCTTCTAATAAAATTTTCAATTTATTATTTATTTTATCAAGACCAATTACAATACTATCAGTCATTATGATCGGTTATTACAATAAAGGAGTGGAGTGCATTATATTATTAAAATTTTTATAATCATTCCTAAATATTGTTTTTTAATGTGGTTAGCGATCTACCTTACCTCGGATCATCACGGGGTTTAACCAAAAATAATCATGGGTTGAATCCCCATCCTAAAAATTAACTTTTAGAAAATTACAAAAGTTTGTGCTTAAAAACCGATTTCAAATCTGATTTGAGCATGAAGAGCATAATAAACTCATGTTGGTCTAATCTGGGATCCAAGTATGTGCCAGAAATAATCTATCAAAATTAGAATGGTTATTGTATATATTTATTATAATATAAAACATCATTTAACTTTAAATAAAGTCTGGATTCAAATAAATAAATTGTAAATTCATTTTTTGAAATGGAAGTTAAATCATTCCAATACTTTCTATTGAGTGTGTACTCTCTTAAGGATTCAAATGATAATTACATAATAGTTTAAATAAATAAACTAAAGTCATTATATATTAATTGTAAGTTAGTATTCGATTGTAAAGATCATGAAAATATAAAGAATAGCGTTGGATTCAAATTATTTTGTAATAAATAAAAAAGCGTATACATAAAAATTTAAAATTTAGGTTTAAAAAAGACTAAAAAAATACATGCTCAAAAATTAATATCATCGAAAATAAAATCAATTAATTAATCAGATTATCGATATAGCTTGAAATAATTGAAAAGATTTGAGTCTAACTTGTAGAATATTATAATCGAAATGACCTTAGTGCTGAAAAAAATGATTTTAACTAGTGAATATCTTATGAATTATTATTTTATATTTAGGTCAATAGGTCGATCAGGTCAGGTTAATATTTTGTTAATCTAACCTGGATTTTTAGGTTAACCTGACAGGTCACCTAATATAACAGAGCTTTAAAGTAGGAATGATAATGGTCAGTCATAGTTAATTAATGGTTAGTTAATAGTCAGTTAAAGGCTTTTGACTGTCTGACTAGTTGACTACTAGTTATACTAACTAGTTGACTAGTCAATTTAATAAGAATATAATTTAAAGTTTTTATTTAATTTATACTTTAAATAACACTAAAATGGTATTTACTAAATCTTTTGATTTTATATATTTTTATTTATTTCTTTTAGGCTAACATGATATGCATATTAAGTTGTATACAGTTGAACCTTATTACAACAAATCTTTATTTAGAGGTCACAATTTATTATAATGAGAAATTTAGTAATATCTTAATTTAACAATTCATTCATTTTACAGTGATACCGAATATTATATCCAAACTGATTATAATAATAAATATTTTAAGAAAAATGTTAATTTTAAAGTAAAATTATTTAATAAATTAATTATTAATTTTAATATATTAATAAACTATATCATTCAAAATTTATTCTCTTCTAAAGAATATTTAAACATAATAAATGAATAAAAATTGTGTACGTTTTATTAAAGATAAAAGTGTCTTTGAATTTCACGAAAACTAAAAAAATTTACTTATATTTTATCATTATACCTCTGATTACCTTTCTACAAACTTTACTTTATTATATAGTTTTTCTATTTATTTTGACAAATGTGTTCTTATTCATTCAAAATATTTCACAATAAATATCATATATTATGCATATTATATATTATATGATTATATACATATTTTTTGCAATTAAAATTTTTGTAATTTTAGTTTTAACAGTTTTGCAATTGAAATTTTTAGTAATTTAAATAGAAATTAAATAAATTGAATCAACTAATTATTCACTATTCAATACTAATTAATTCTAGGTTTAACACTAATTAATATGAGATTCAAAACTAATTAATCCCTATAAAAATTTTATTAAATAATTTTACATATTTTATTATATTTTTATAAATATTTAAATTGTTAATTTATACTTTATTAAAATTTATTTTTTTAATAGTAATACAAAAAATTCATTATATCTTTTAAATTTAATATAAAATTCGTTATATAAAAAAAATTCATTAATAAAAGTTCTATTTATTATAATTATTACAAGATTTTCAATTTATTATATATTATAGTAAGTTTTATTATAAAAATTCATTATATACAATTATTATATTTAATAAAATTTGTATTACTTATAAAATTCTCAATAATAAAAAATTCAGAATATAGAAATTAGTTATAGTAAATTTCAACTGTATTTTCATATTTAGTTATCACAATCTATTTTTTAGAATAAATTAAAAAATTTTATTTATAAAAAATTATATCACTAAAATAATTGTTAATTAAATGCAAAGAATTCTTTGAATTAATAATTAAAAATGTTTAATTATCTAGTCATTCAAAATAGGATCCCGAAATATATACTGTATATAGAAGTTAGTATATTAATACATCACCAACATAGAGATATTTTATGTTATTAGATTTCAGTTTGCGTAAAATCCAAGATTTTTTTTAACAAATATCAAGTTATTAGTTTGAGTATTTTAGTATATTTTTAAAAAAGTAAGGGTTTAATTTATGTATTTTTGACACAAATTTGGTAGATCATGATATAATAGATGATTTATTCAAATAAAGTTGATTTGCATAATTATGTAAGATATATCTTTGATATATTCTAACACAATATAATAGGTTAAAAACATAGTTTTGAAAGGTTTTTAATGTACAAATATGTTATTTGTATTATATATCCAAAAAAGTAGTATGATCTGTAATAAAAAATAAAGTAGAAGAAGTATTATCTTGACTATTATGCTTATTATTCTAAATGTAAAGCAAATGAAGAACAAAGGTTAATATATAATTAGTTTTAGCTAATAAAGTAAGAATTAAAACAAGTTCATAATAAAGTTAAAGAAGAAAATGAATATAATTCTGATATATATGATAATATGGATGATGATAATTTGATACAAATTAACGAAGAAGATGATAATGATGAACAAAATCAAGAAGAATTTTCAGCTATTAATATTGAAGAAACATCAAATAGAAATAGTGATAAAAATACTAAAAAAAAAACGTTAATTTGTATAGTCATTGATTAGCAGCAATTTCAAAATATATTAAATGAATACCTGCATAACGCATACATAAATTTAGCAGAAAAAAATTGAACTTTAATCAAAAAAGATTATTAAATTATATACTTTTTGCAGAATCTGTATGAAAAATTAATTGATTATGTATGTAGCTAAAATTTATTATCTTTAATAAATTAATTAATTTAATTAATAAATATTTTATTTATTTTAAATATAGTTACTGCAATACATGCAAAAGATTGTAATAAATATTCATTTATCTGATATAATAAAACTTTATGCAGAAAAATAAATCACCTTTTACTATTATTTAGTAATGTTAAATTTACTTCTAAATAAAATTGAAAAGATAATTCTTTAAAAAAATATCTTCATTATTGTGATCTTTATGATATTTGAAATTAATATACCGAAGTTTTAAGATCAAAAAATTTGTCTTTTACTTAAGAAAGGACTATTCATTAAGGTAAATACTAAATAATAATATTTTATTATAATTTAAATGATCTTCATTTTTTATTATTTAATAAAATTTTATTCTAAAAATTATATAAGTTATTATTTTGATTATAATTCTAAAAATTTAGATAAATAAACATTAAAACTTTGGCTAACAGATGAATAAATTTTATAAATTATAAAGCATTCATATTATTTACTTTATGAACTTGTTGAATTACTTGGAATAATTCAACCTGAAAAATTTCTCTTAAAACAAATTCACAAATTAACAAATTCTAATAGATGTTTATAAATAAGAAGTTTCAATATTATATAGAAAAGATGAAAAGAATAAAGAAATAAATAAAAATACTGAAACTGATCTAACAGTAGTATTAGCAGATATATCTTATAAAATAGAGCATATTTTAATTAAAAAAGATGACAGTGAAGAAGATTTATCAAATTTATTTCAAAAATAATATTTGCAATTAAATATATTTAATCAAATTTCTGATGATTTGTTTATTTTATATAATAAAGATAGCAGTAAGTTATATATAATATTATAGTTTAATTTTAATTATCATTTATCCTTTATTAATAAAATTACTTTTAATATAGTTAATTCTAAGTTTTAATATGAATCGAAAGATAATATAGATTTTGAAATTCTATTATAATAATGACAAAGATATGAAGCATACATTTTAAAGCCACTTGTATAAAAATTCAAAACAGTTTTTACAAAATCAAATACTTTAGCTATATAACCAAATGAAACTAGCAATATTATTATATAATTTATTAAAAATGAAAATCCAATATAACAAATTATCACTTAACGAAAAAATCTATAGAAGAAAAATCACACAAAAATGTCAATTTTACTTTAGCTCAACTTTATAATGAAGAATTAGTAAAATTAGTATCATCAAAAAAAATTTACTAAAAATAAGTTTTAGCATTCGCATATTCAAAGTAACTTTAATTTTTAATTGGGTATTTTTTATTAATAATTATAATATAATACCTAATTTTTATTATTTTCCTAAAGTTTCAAATATTGAAAATGCAAATATTTAAAGTAATTTCTATTAATGAAGAAAAATTATATATTTATTATATATGATAATCAAATATGTGTAAGAAGATTTATTTTAAAACTTATAATAATTATTGTTATACTAAAGAAGCAATAACAGATTTGAATGATATTTCTTAAATATATTATATGTTTAGCAAGAAAAATGCAATATTTTAACACATCATCTTGCTTCTAATATTATTTATCATATTGTATAAACTAATATAATGGCTGAAGAAAATGTATTAAAGCTATTAGAAAATAAAAGAAAATATTACTATAATTACTTTAATTAAAAAGATATAATTAAAAAAATACAATAGTAATATTTTTACTTTATATGATACTAAAAAATTCATTTTATATAATCATTTTATATAATAAAAAAAATTCATTAGTAAATAATAAAACATTTGATCGATAGAACAATGAAA